TTCCTAAGGACTATTGCAGGGATACCATCAAGTTGACATGCTTTGTGGGGTTTAGAGGAGATAGCAGAAACTATGGGTGGAGTTCTATGCCTATCGCTCAATAGAGACTCGGTTCTAAGTGGAAAGTCAGGCAAAGGTACTCCAGATGAGTCAAGAGTAGAATTTAAAGTAGATTTACAAACAAAACATTCTGCTTCATCATCAGCAGATGTTAACACCTCAAATTGAGTGTGTGCGTGTGTTTGAATAGAAGACTTACTCTTATTTAACACTATTACACAGCTGCCAATAGTCATGTTAGAAAAACTTTAAAAAAAACAAAAAAAAAAACCAACTTAACATACAGTCCAAAGGATGACTCTTAAGGAAAATTACAAGAATTAAATCATTAATATTTACTTTCTGTGTATTTAAAGCATAACAAGGACAGACGAATGAATAAATTAAAAAGATTTCATGGTTCAAAAGTAGTCAATATTATTATTGGATCATAATTATTATAAGAATGATGGTTCGTTTCATAATGTCTTTTCCAGTTGTACCCTTTCAGCACGGCAATGGTGTTGTTGCAAACTAAACAATGTATCTTTTAATTTACCATTGTGCCAAAATATCTTTCCCCCCCCCTACCATTTTTCTTGAAACACTTACGCTTCTTAATTCAATTTTCTTTTTCTCTTGGCTAAAGGAACACTGGCCATTTTAGGGTTGAAGTAGTAGGGAAAAAAAAAAAAAAAAAAAGAGATTAATTTTCAAAATTGATGACATGGAATCTGAAAAGTTACTGGTACATTTAAATGGCTAACAGTAAAAAGAGATAAAGGAAAATGTAAAAAACATGTGATTTTCTTGAATGCTGTAATTACTATATTATAAAAACTGCAATTTTGGCTGTTAAATGACCAAATTAATATCCTCCGTGCAGTCCACAGGTGTGCTTATAAAGGACTGTGTACGGCCTGCAGGCTACATGTTTGACATGCCTGATCTACACCTCATGTTTTAAAATATTTGCCAAAAATCAAGGAATTACTGATTTAAACAAAATTTCCAGGACTCATTCATTAGTGAATGAATATTTTACTGGATAGGTCATTTTATTAGAGAAAAAAAATGGGAGGGGGGGGGGGGTTATGTTTCACACACCTCTTTTCATTATTGCATGTGTACTTTTTTTAATTTGGTGAATGTTTGTCCAAATTTTTTTTACAGTTATATAAAAAGAAATCCCTGAAGATAATATTTTTGAAAATTCAGGCTGCATTTTGCCAAAAAATCAATTCAGTAAAAAAAAAAAAAAAAAAATCAAAATAATTTTTTTTAAAAATTGGTGCTTGCATTATTTAATAACACATTTTCTTTCAAATTCAGCAGGAAAAAAAATGCAAACTTAATATTTATTTTTAAGAAACTACTTGTAATCTTTCAATGCAATTTTGAAATTAATACTGTCACTGTTTGTCCCAAAAGAGTTTATTTTATTAAAGAAAAACATGTTTAGTGATTTTAAAAAAATCTCAAGTTTAATGCCATTTTTGAGTGTGAACCTTTTTTAAAAGAATCTTATTTTATTTTTTCTTTTTCGCAATTATTAAGATTATTTTTGGCATGGATGTACAAAAGAAATATAAATTGATATCTTGTGTTGACTGACTAGTCAATATCAGAGGAATATAGGTACCTCCATGAGATCGCTAAAAAAGAGCATAGAATGATGAAAAAGATGCCAAACTTGATGGAAACAAAATTTTATCGTCTAAATGTTTGTTATTATTAAGAGGAATAATCAAAGTATTTTGGGGGTATTTTTTACATTTTTTAATCGTTCCTAGCACGTCCGAAATTTTTGTTAAAAATCTTCTTTTTTTTTTTTAAGTCAGCAAAATTGACAGATAATCAATCACATCAACCATTTTTTTCCATTTTCAAAAAAAAAAAAAAAAAAACACACACACACACACACAACAACTTTGGTCTTTCCTCTTAATAATAACAAGCAAACATTTAGACGATAAAATTTTTGTTTGGGTTTTTTTTGTTTTTTTTAACTTAATTATCCCCCCCCCACACACACACACACATGTGCGCGCTTTTTTCGGACAGAGGTAGAATTACAACAACATTGTTTCTACTTTGTCCTTTGACATCACAGGCTAGCTAGCATAAAACATTATTTTCATTCTGATTTAAATAAAAAGGTAAGTATTACTTTTAGAAAACCCAGATTGTTTGTAAATTTAAGGATAACTCAAACTTCGAAACATCTCTGGAACAAAAATCAGATTTTAAAGAGAATTTTAAATTTGTTGTCTACATTTTCTTTTGTATACAATGGAGGTTCAAGGAGTTAATGAAGGTAAAAAAAAAAATTTAAAAAAATACTAATTCTTTTGATGGAAATTAAATTTTCTTTTAATTTAAATTAGCTTTTTAGAAAGTTCAAATGTGTTTTAAGTTTGTTTTTTTTTTTTTCAACTCCGTGGCAGTAGCTAAGCATTTTTAGGTGAAGATGAATGACCTTCATGTCTTTGGTACGTTTTTTTTTTTTTTTTTTTTTCATTTTCGAGAATGAATGAATATAAAGACGGTTATTTTTTTTAAATTGATAAATAAAAAAGTAAACAATTTCCACGTTAACCCACCAGATGATTTTGAAAAGAGAGAGAAATAATACAAATTGAACGTCACAGCAAGAACTGAAGACTGCTGTGTGAAAGCAAAAAGGTTTTTTTTTGTTTTTAGGAAAAGATGCGATTGTATCTTTCTTCAGAAATTCTAGAATTCCTGGTGGTAAGGAAAGAACTAAGCAAATATTTAAATAAATAAAAACAGGCACAATAAGGGTAATTTAGGATTTATTTGTATTTTTACATTGGAAAACTAACATCAATTGTCATAAATAAAATAAGTATTTTTTTAAAACTCAAGAAATCGAACCCCCAATTTAGATCCACTTTACTCGGTTCAAATTTTATGAAAAAGTTTCTATAGAAATTCAAGTGAATCACATCAAATTACATTGGTTCTCTAAACCGAATCTTAATCTTTTTTTGGCAAGAAAAAAAAAAACATTTTTTTAAGTTGGTTAAACAACCATACCATTGACCAGGGATATAAAAAACACTTTTTTTTTTTTTTTACATTTACTAAAAAATAATCATTTAGACAAAAAACAAAATTTACATTCAAACTTGTAATTTAAGAAATTTATGCATGAATTTTTTTTTTAATGTTGCAATGTTTCAAAATCGAATTATTGTTCAAATTAGTTCAATTAAAAAAAAAAAGTTAACCAAAACATTTATTCATAAAATTTAAATTTTCAAGTTCTTTCTTCCGAATTGAAGCAAATTAAATTCTTTCATCATAAAACATTTCATAAATTTAAGCAAAGAATAAAAAAGTAATTTCGTCAATGATTAAAATAATTATTGACTGAAGGTCAAAATTTCCTTAGGTGAGTTTCCTTGAGACCCGAAGTGAAAAAAAAAATCGTATACATTAGAAATTAATAAAAAAAAAATGGAAAATATTAAGGAAAAAAAGGATGGCCATTTAAAATGATTTATTTTTAATTTTACGAACGATAAAATTTTTCTGTACAAATATATTGAGAAGGTGATTTGAGTAACAGGAGGACATGAATTTAAATGACAATTATTTAAAAAAAACACTCTGAAAATATTTCTTAAGTTAAAAGTAAGAAACGACGCGTTGATTGAAAAAAGGAGATAAATTTGAATTGATTAATCAAATTAAAAACGTTTATTTAAGGCTTAAAATGAAACATTTTAAAAGAACTTGGTAATCAGCGAAAATCTTAAAGAAAAAGTGTCATTTTTAACTCTACGGCTTTACTGAGGAATGTCAATTTTTTTAAGATGATAAAAGAAATATTTAATATTGAAAATAATTTATAAACCATTTTAAAAACTAAACAACGATAAGTGATGACATTCAGCTTTAAGACTTCATTTTTTGCGGTCAACAGAAAAAAACAATAACAGATTTTACTAATCTTAGAACAAAAATAATTAAAGATCATTAACATGGATAAATATAGATTCATGAATTTATTTTAAAATACGGTTCATCCTAAAAATTAAGAGAATCATTCTCTCTATATTTCTAGTTTCATATGACGAAGAAAAGTAAAAACGACCTTTTATAATTCGTTTCAATCAAAAAAAATATCAGACGACTTTTCTTTTTTTTTTTTAAAAAACATACCAAGAAGAACCGAAATATACACATATTTCAGCAAGTAATATACAATTATTTAAATTACAAGTTCAATATATAAATAAAGTAAGAAGTTTGATGAGAGAATATTAAATGCTTTCTTACCTGAAGTTTTCATGCTGACCTTGGTCGTCCTGACTGAAGCGGAAGAAGAAACGAAAACGAGACTGGAAGGAAAGAGCAAGGACAGATAACTTTGTCTAACTTCTCAACAGGGGAGACAATCGTTTCGTCACTTCCCGAACAAAGGTGCTTGTTTAATCAGCAGACAAGCGCCATTTTCTGTCGGCAATTCACTTGTGCTGTGTCACGCTGTTTCGGTGTGACCGAAAACCAATTTTATTCCACTGCATTGATAAAAGAAAAAATAAACCATGAAGATGAGGAACCATATGACCTCGGCTTCCGGAGTAATATCCTTGCTTGATGAACCGGACGAACAATTAAAGGTATTTGCTCTTGAAAAGCTAAACAAAATTGTAGATGTGTTTTGGGCCGAGATCGCCGAAGCTGTTATGAAGATTGAAGTTTTGCATGAAAGCCGGGATTTTCGTTGTCGGGATCTGGCAGCTCTGGTTGCTTCTAAAGTCTATTATCATCTTGGGGCTTATGAAGATTCTCTAAAATTTGCCCTGGGTGCTCTGAATTTATTTGATGTTACCGATACATCGGAGTATGTGTCAACTATAAAAGCAAAATGCATGGACCAATATACAAAACTTCGAGTGGTGCATGCAGAGAACCAAGGTGATCCTAAAATGATTGATTCTCGACTTGAAGCTGTTGTGAATCGAATGTTTCAAATGTGCTTCGAAGACCGGCAATATAAACAAGTTGTTGGAATTGCCTTAGAGACGAGGAGGATTGATATGTTCGAAAAGGCTATTACAGAGTCGGACGACTCCTCTGCTATGTTAGCCTACAGCTTAAAAGTTTGCTTATCTCTGATTATGAGCCGGCATTTTCGTAATGATGTGCTTCGTGTATTAACCAAACTTTACATGGGTTTGAAATCCCCAGATTATATCAGTGTTTGCCAATGCTACATATTCTTGGATGACCACAAATCTGTAGCAGACATTTTGGAAAAGCTCATCAAGGGAGATGAAGAATCCCAGTTGAAGGCCCTACAGATAGCGTTCGATTTGTATGAAAGTGCTACTCAACAATTTTTACAGCAAGTTCAGAACTGGCTCCGAGCAGTCGCTCCAGCCCCCTTGCCGTCCTCTAAAAAGATCTCGGACGAAAATAAACAAACTGCCAGTGGGGGCGAAGCAAAGGAAGAAAAGATGGAAGTGGATGAAGAAAAGACAGACAACTCGGATCAATCTGCATCAACTGCTGGTGCTTCTTCTTCTGCATCAGCATCAGCATCTGCATCTGCATCTGCTACACCTGCCCAATCACTGACAGAAGAACAGAAACAACTCCAAGAACGACTGGTCAAACTTTACACCATCCTAGGGGGAGAGAATACCATTGGATTACATTTGCAATTTTTAATCCGTAACAATAAAACAGATTCTTTGATCTTAAAGAATACTAAAGATGCTGTCAGAAATTCTTTGTGCCACTCTGCCACAGTCATTGCCAATTCATACATGCATTGTGGCACCACATGTGACCAATTCCTGCGTGACAACCTTGAGTGGCTGGCCCGTGCTACTAATTGGGCTAAATTCACTGCAACAGCAAGTTTGGGTGTTATTCACAAGGGACATGAAAAAGAAGCCTTGAATCTCATGTCTACATACCTTCCCAAGGATTCCAGCCCTGGATCTGCTTATTCTGAAGGTGGAGGATTATACGCTTTGGGATTGATTCATGCCAATCATGGTGGAGAAATTGTCGAGTATCTTCATAACCAACTCAAGGATGCTTCAAATGAAATGGTCCGTCATGGTGGTTGCTTAGGCCTTGGTTTAGCTGCCATGGGCACTGCCCAGCAAGACATATTTGAACAATTAAAAGTAAACCTTTACCAAGATGATGCTGTAACTGGAGAAGCTGCTGGCCTGGCTATGGGTCTTGTAATGCTGGGAACCAAAAATAGTGATGCAATTCAGGATATGGTTGCCTATGCTCAGGACACCCAGCATGAGAAAATTCTGCGGGGTCTTGCTGTTGGCATTGCCTTAACTATGTATGGACGGTTAGAAGAAGCTGATGATTTAATAAATACCTTGTCCCAAGACAAAGATCCAATCTTAAGATGGTCAGGCATGTATACATTAGCCATGGCCTATTGTGGATCTGGTAACAACCAGGCCATCCGGAAACTCCTGCATATTGCTGTCAGTGATGTAAATGATGACGTGAGACGAGTTGCAGTCACATCCCTTGGCTTCCTTCTTTTCCGCACACCTGAGAAATGCCCGCAAGTTGTCTCTCTTTTGTCTGAGAGTTACAATCCACACGTGAGATTTGGTGCTGCCATGGCTCTGGGTATTGCCTGTGCTGGCACTGGTCTCAAAGAAGCAATCAGTTTGCTGGAACCAATGACTAATGACCCTGTTAATTATGTACGACAAGGAGCACTCATTGCTTCTGCCCTAGTACTCATCCAGCAGAATGAGGTCACTTGCACCAAGGTGACACACTTCCGACAACTCTACACAAAGGTCATCTCTGACAAACATGATGATGTCATGGCTAAGTTTGGAGCTATTCTTGCTCAAGGAATTTTAGATGCTGGTGGCAGGAATGTTACCATTTCTTTACAGTCTCGCACTGGACACACAAACATGGAAGCCGTCGTAGGCATGTTAGTGTTCTGCCAATTCTGGTTCTGGTATCCACTGACCCATTTCTTGTCTTTGGCATTCAAACCAACTTGCATCATTGGGCTTAATAATAATCTAGGAATGCCAAAGGTCCAGTTCCGATCAAATGCTAAGCCTTCCACATTTGCTTATCCGCCACATCTGGAGGAAAAGAAAGACAAAACCAAAGAGAAGGTGAAAACAGCTGTACTCAGTATCACTGCAAAGCAGAAGAAGAAAGAAGCTGAAAAGAAAGAGAAAGAAGAAAAGATGGAAGTTGATGAAGCAAAGTCAGAGGAAACAGATAAGAAAACAACCAAAACAGATAAAGATGAAAAGAAAAAAGATGACAAAAAAGACAGCAAAAGCAAAAAAGATGACAAAGATGAAAAATCGGAAGATGCGAAAGATATCGAAAAGAAACCGGAACCTAATTTTGAATTGTTAGACAACCCAGCTCGTGTGATGCGAGCTCAACTGCGAGTAATCAGTAGTCCTGACTCTCCCAGGTATACTCCAATGAAAGACGTTACTAGTGGGGGCATCATTATGCTGCTGGATCGTAAGCCAGAAGATCCTGAAGACCTAGTAGAACCTATTGCTGCTGGCGGACCCAAAGTAGAAGAGGAAACAGAACCAGAACCACCAGAGCCATTTGAATGGACTGAAGATTAACCACTCATATTTTAATTTTTTTTTTAAATTTTTTTTTTTTTATCAACCATGGAATAATTGTATTCAGTTGGATCAGGTGGGCTTTTTAGTGTATGAATGACATTAGACAAGCAACACTATTCTTCATTTAAGTTTCAATACAAAAAAACAATAACCACAGCAGAGAAAAGAAAAACTCTTTCTTTTTCTTTTTTTTTTTTTTTCCTTGAATTGAGTTTAATTTGCTCATGCTATTTTCCTCCTTTCTACATTTAATTAAAATAAACTGTCATCATTTCTTGTGCAATATAAATATGCTACATTCATCTTTTTTTTTCTCTCCAATATAGTAAAAAAATAAGAAAAATAACTTTTTTGTTTAAATTTAAGAAATAAGACGTCTAATTGTAATAAAGCACAAGAAATTATTTGAATTTTTTATTATTCTTTTTGAATTTTTATGTTTCTTCTACAACTAAGCATTATTAAACAATATAATTAACAAGCAGACTCTATCTGAAAGAAACTAAAAAGGTCCCCAGCACTTGTTTGTTCCATCCCACTGCCAAATTTCTCATTTATTTAATCTGAATTAACCTAAACACTCTTTCATTGAATAAGTTTATTGCTAATTATTAGAAGCTACAAAAATAAAATATTTCATTTCTTTATCTGTTAATATTTATTTTCTAAGTTAAAAAATACACACAGACATGTTGTTAGAACCTAAGAATGTTACTTGAAAATATTGACTTAATAAATAAACACCCTCCACAAATTTATCTTTTCCTTCTAAATGAAGCTTGTACAAAAACATTCAGTTTTCTTCAGATAGAAACTATCAAATATCTAATTGCAATTAATTTATAACCATTCTTATTAGAATTAATGTGTTATTGTTGATTTCATAAAATACGACTAAACTCTTTATCCTATGCTTTCTGTTTAATTCTCAAATTGTTTGAGATTTTCTAAGGGTGTCTTATTTATTATCATTATTTTCACTGACTTTAGTTTTTGATGATAGCATGAATCAGTCTCATCATTTCTCTCAGAATCCATCTTTTATTGTCAATCTTTCAATTCATTGCATGATTAAATGGTATATGTATATTTTCTGTTTGTTCTAAATAACATTTGGTTTGTAATTTATAAAAAAAACTACTAAGTATTGGTGAAATTTGTGTGTATATATATATATATATATATATATATATATATATATATATATATATATATATATATATACATACACACACACACACACGTTTATATTAAATAATGCAGTTAACCAAGCCTCAACAAATATGTGTAAATTCATTAATTAAAATTGGTTAAAAATACAAGTCCTAGTAATTAAGACCCATGTTAAACTATTAAATCATAGGTACAGTGTGTGTTTGTGATAGAGAAAGAAGTTCCTGATGTCTCCTTTTCTTCTGTTTCTCAAATTGTGGCTTTTAATAATTCTAAGTAAAATCTCTTTGCCAAATTTGGAAGAAGAAAAACTTTTAAATAGAACATGGTCAGTAGGAAAGATCTAATTGCATGAATATACCAAATTGACTTCATTCTTTAGTAATAATATCTATCACTATTCAAGCTTGTTTTTTCTGAAGATGCAAGAAACATTCTTAATTTCTATTGCTAAATTATTGGTTGAAATTTTAAAATAAGGTAATTTTGGTTATGCATTCATTGTCACTGGACAGTTTTTTATTCAATTTATTTTCTATAAACATCTAAGATAGAAATAAAAAATTTTTTTACTAAATATAGGTAAAAAACATTCTACGTTACACAAAATAATCTTTATTTTTAATTCACATCTTTACATTGCAAATTCTTACACTAACTTGGTTTTTAGAGTTTGTTTTTTTTCCTTTTTCCACTAAAAGGCCAACATAGTGTGAGAAAATCTAAATCTGTTTATTTTTCAGATCTAGTTTATAGCAATTCAACAACCAAAAAAAAAAAAAAAAAACAGTTTACTTCTTTATGTTAATTCTTTGTGTAATCTTCAGACTCAGTCTTGGGTTGAATAATTGTCTTTTGAATTGACATAAAAAAAAAAGATGTAAACTAAATTGACAAAGTGCTTCTCACTATGGTACCATCTTGGATCCTCTGATTTCCTCATTCCAGAAAATGCAAATTGTTTCTCATGAAAACATTTGCAAACTTTATATTTAAATGTTTTCCTTGTGTGCTACTACTGTGTAGTTTTAGTCACTTTTTTTTAACAAACCCACAGTATATGAAAAATACATTTTACTAATATCAATTTGTTCAACATGAAAATGTTAATTTATTTAAAATAAATTTAAAAAATCTATAGAAAAAAATAATCTCTTTCACTGTATATACTTATTCTGACTTGGCAGCAAGTTATAAATTCTTTTTTTGAAGAATTCTCCATTCAAAGAATCAGTTCGTTGAAGCCGCCTTCAATTTGATCCTGGTTGGAAAATTTCTTGCCAATAACGAAAAAAAAGCAATCCTTAAGAGAATTAAGTTGAATCCATGAATAAGATGCAATAAACTTCTCCAAAGTTGACCAATTCAGCTTCAATGGCATCATTTTTGTCACATGATCTCCAGTGTTAACATTCAGTAAAACCAATATTTTCAAATTAGCAAACTGAGCACTGTGTTTTGAATGCACTACTTATATATCGGTGTTTATTGTTTGATAACTTAGAAGGAAATTCTGACTTATCAAATCATGGCCTATCAAATGTTAATCCTAACTTAGAGATGTTAATGTATTCATTTTGATTTCTCCTTATCTGTGTTCAATCATTTTACACATCTACCAGTTACACAAAATCTATTTTATATTTTCATCCCAAGAAAGAATACAAAAAGAAATCAGTTTCTTACCCATTATTTTTTTTTTCTTCCAATCATTTCATTATTTAACAGTTTTATTTCCATACAAATTATTTAAAATTGTTTCAATCAAGGCATCAAAATTTGTTTTGAGTACTTTGAAATGTTTGAAATCATTTCTGCTAATCGTTTTAGCTGACCTTTCTTGTCTTTTTTTTTTTCAGCTGAAATCTCAAAATACAAATTTTTACTATTGGTCATCATATTTTTCTGTTTTATCTCTTTTTATAGCTCAGATTGAACTCATTCAAAAATGAGTAGATGGACAATATTTATGAAAATAAATATCAAATGTTTACTGAATTCTCAAATATTTCAAAATCAATTATAGATATTATTTCTAAAATAAAGTTAAAATGTCAATTTTATACCAAGCAATTTTCTGAACAACCTTCTAAATGGTTTAATATCATAAGTACACCCTACTTCTTTTTTTATTCCTAAAGTAAGATTTCAAAATATCTACTAAGTTTTATTTTTAAAGTTCTCTTGTAGGTTAATGTTTATCCAAGCGCCATTGACTAGTAGGACTACCTAGCCTAACTATAATAAATATTAAATGTAAATATATATCATTAAATAAGAATAGTTATTAGCTGAATTTTGATCTGAATATTTCAGTATAATGTTAAATATTCACCATTAAGTGCATTGACAAGGAAGGAAATAATGTTGAAAAATATTCATAGTGTAAATAAATGTTTTTGGGGTTTTTTTCCCTTGTTAGGCTGCAAATTTTGATGTGTCTATATGTATCAAATTATTCATGCCCTTGCAAAATTTATAACTTTAAAAAAATATTGTCATTAAAGGAATGCTTTTTATCTCTAGCCAAAATTGATATATAATGGCAGAAGAAAAGTGAAAGAAACAATACATGAAAAATATGAAGGAAAAAAAAAAACTATTTCATTGAAATATTTGATTATAAATGACATGTCCAAAATGATTTATACCAATATCTTAATTTGAAAACCTTTATTTGCTGTCAGTTTTCATGCATCATCACCAGATTTCAACAAATCTTAGAGATTTTCATTCTTCTGTTGTATTTAGTTCTCCACAGATTCTTAATTGGGTTTTGGTCTGGACTCTGGCATGGCCACTCTAAAATATTGGCATTGTTACCGAAGAACCATTTCTTGGCCAACATTGACACGTGCTGAGGTCTTCTTTCAGCCAAATGAATTTTTTCGTCCCAAATCTGAATATAATGTCCTTTGTTCATGATTCCATCCACTTTACCCAGATGACTGACCCCACTGGTTGAAAAGAACATCATGCTGCCACCTTCATGCTTAACTTTTCAATTTTGAGTTGAAAGCTTCACCCATTTTTCACCAAATATGCCACATACCTGTACCCAATAAGTTCAATTTTTATTTCATCTGACCAAAGCAAGAGTAAGATTAGCATTTACAAGCCAGGCTTGGAACATTGGAGTCTTCCTTGATTGCCTTCCATCGGGGCCTGCATTATGAAAAATTCCCTGGAGATATATTGATACCAATCATTCAAACAAGTCAAAATGTCCTTAGTAATGATCTTAGATTGATCTTAACATCTATGAGGACATTGTTGTCATAAAAACTAATACCTTGGGTTTCCTTACTTTTGATGTTTTTCACAAGGTACACATTATTTATTTCTTAATAATACTTTGGTCTGGCACTTAACACTTGCTCTGAGGGTCATATTGAGGCATGAAATTGAGTCACCATGCAATGTTGATTTCTATGGCTACACTATGTTCACAAACACTTTATCTATGATACTGAACACACTTCTATAAAGAGAGAAAATTTTAAACAATCTAATTACATATATATAAGTAGATTATTAAGTTTATTTTAGTGTAGCTCAAGGCTACAATAGTGGAGCATCCAGTGATAGAATGTATCAAAATTATTTTGTTAATTTTATGACCTATGTATCTTAATCAGCTTGTATTTTTCTGGTGTAAGCAAGAGTGAAGAGTAGATTCAGGTCAACAATGTTATAAACGCAAGTATGATAGCACAAGAAAACAAGTAACACCAGTGAAGCAAATGGAAATGAAGACAAGAAATGTTAATATAAAAGTTTTTGTATTGCCAATACAGAGGATGTGGGCAGATTGTCTCTTTGTT